GTCAATGAAGTTGGTATCGAATATATCTATCATTGCTTTGACAGCTTTTTCATATTGGTTCCGTTTGCTTTTGTTGTCACAGTGGTGTTTATTTTCACTTTGTCTGCTTGTGCTGCTTATACTATCATGAAATGTTGCTGAATATCTTGAAGATATAGGTCGTGCAAGAAACCAACGTGCCAATGCATTTTCTCTCAAAGTGAGTCCAACAATACCACCTGATCCTTTGAGATCTTTGTTCTGTGTAGTTTCTAGTGCATAATCCAGCCAGACATTGTTGAATTTTCCAGATGACAACTTTGCTGTGTAAAATCCTTCACGAAACCCTTCCTCTAGATCCTTGGGTAGCATTATCATCTGAAGTAATTGGACTGTCATGTATCTAGCATAAGTTGTTCGATTTCAAAAATAGTCTGAGATCAGGATATGATAGAGAGTATCCTAGAGAGAACATGTCTTCAATTAGATGACGACTGCCAAACTCGTTAATATAGGTGTATACCAAGGCCCAGAATGCTTTGGGGATGGGTTTTTGATGTCACAAGCGTTGTAAGGTCACAGGCAACAAGTTAGACATTTTGTATTGGTCCTTTCAGATGCTTCCTTGTAACATTTTTTGTCATATAACCAGCACACTGCCTTGTAAAGAAGAGGCTCACAAACTCCTTTTTGATTTGATAATTGTGTTTCTTCTGGGGAGTAGAAATGGTCTTTCCAATTTTGAATTATTCTCTATAATTCGCCTTCTCATATTTTATGGCCTTATGTACTACACTTTCTTCAGTGTCATTCTCTGCTTCTGGTAATTCATCATATGAACACTCTTGGTCATGTTGTAAAACCTGCTCCAATTTCTTTGATTCTCTTATTGCATCATTTATGGTCAAACTAGATGAACATACTAGATCAGGTTTTCCATGCTGGTGAATAAAGGAAATTTCAGGCCATATTTTTTCGAACAACTTTTTTAAATTATAACTTTTATAAGATTTTGCATCTGTGCAACCATCAGCTTCGGCAATTTCATTGAAACGATTTTTTAATGTAGACAAATAATATACTTTTTTATCAACCATTATCAAATTCTGAAATTCATGCTTAACTTTCATTGCTATTTTAGAGTATGAAATTGTTTGATCATTTGAGTTGTTCTTATTTTGTGTGCAAACAGCAAAAGCATAAGTATTTTGTGCATAATATTTAGTCAGGCAACCCTTTTTTCTATGATAACGAGCCTCAATGGCAGCAAGATCACCATTTGGTACACTGGTCAGTCTGTCAATAATAGCTACATCATTGATTGCAATGGCAACATCTAAAACTTTTTGATATATGGATTTAGAGTCTGAAGATATTGCACTTTCCACAAATGACAACTTCTACTAAAAGCCTCTTGATGTATTGTCTCTCTTAGGGTTGCAATTTTCGCCACAAATAAAGCACAGAGATTTCCAGTCAAAGTTTACACTAGTGGACCTAGTCTTTAAAGGTGCTCTGAGGTTTTCTTTGTCATTCATTGTTGACTAAGCAGAGAAGTAATTCATGACTGAAATACAAACGAAACGACATGACAACAATCAGCTACATTATCAACTACTTTTCTTATCATATTAAATGCAGGTTAATTAAACTCTTCAGATTGTATGAATTTAGCTAAAACGTTTAAAGAATTCGGCAACAATATTTTAACCAGAGCATAATAAAGTGTGAAAAAAGTTCAATGAGTTGTATGACATTGTGATAGCTACTATGACACATCCTGTAATAAGTATTACAATAAATAATATATTACTTCCATGAAGGAGTAGTTACAATTTAATAGATATACAAACCATCAATTATGTACTAGCATTGAATGGTCCAATAACACCTCACAGAATGTAGTGACGAGAAGTATATGTATCTTCTTTCCTATAGATTGTCTGAAAGAAAAGAAAACATTTGCAATTTACCTTTGGATTATATATGTCGAGGATTACAAACAGTTTGTTGAATGTAACCGCCAACAAGTATCCATAACATGATCAAAGTAATCGCAACCTTATTTACATTAATACTTATTGCAGGATTATTAACTTACAATTTCAAAGACATGAATGTATTTAACCATGATCCTTTGTTTAAATGAAAACAGAATCATTTGTTACATGCATGTTTCAATAGTATAGTTTTTATTTAGGAATGGTATTTTCTGTAAAATAAGCCATAACAAAACATTTTAAAATGTAATTACAAAAAAAAATAATAAAATAGCAAAAGACATCTTTGAAAAATACTATTTTTGGGCGTTTTTTGTCATATTTTTTTGTTTCTGACTTCCAAAAATATTTTTACACCTACAAATTTTTACTCTAACACATTTTCGAAACAAATCCAATACATGGATGGGAAAAATGGAATATATGCAGTTGCTTTTACTGCCAAAAATAATGAAATGAATTTTACATGGTAATATTCAAATTCTGTCGACCATCTTGGACGCCATCTTGGATTTCTAAGTCCGCCAGCACTTTTGGAAACAGTGAAATCCCATTTCGTATTGTAGAGATCCAGACGAACATTTTGGTATATGAAACCTCCTGTTTATGATTGGGGACCAGTTACTCCCCTAAATAAGCAAGTTATTGGAGTCTATTTGCAGCACTATCAAGCACAGTCTGATTTTGACAAGTATAATTTTATCCAGCTCTTGCTACATATTATATTTTGAATGGAAGATGAAATGACACCAGTTCTAATCTATGCCAACTTTTCATTATGTTAATAGTTTTTTACTGCTGAAAATTTTAAATAATTTAAATTTTTTCTGACTGTCACAATTTGAATGATAATGTAAAAATCATGAAATCTTGTGTTTTGAACTAAAATTCATAAAACTCAGTAAAGCACAGCAGTAAAAAAAAAGAACCCATTTGATGTTTTGCCTGAAATTGGAACATTTCGATTATAAGTTTAAGTTGTTCTAGTATCAAAACACTAACATAGAGTGGCTGGTGGTATTGATTCTAGTATAATTTTACAACATTGCAGACTGACCTTACTCCAAACAGGTAGTAGGTAGGTAATTATTGCTGCTGGCTGTTGTACTCACCCCTGTGTCAACATCGGCATCAGACTTTGGTTAAGTTCTGGTCGGCACTTTGGTATTGCCAAAACCATGGAAGGGAATAAGTTGAAACTTCTTTGAGAGCATGATAGAAGGTCTCTATCAAAGGCCCGTAACTCTAACATGGATTTAGAAAATTCTACATTAACCTGGCTCTCGCTATCAAGCACTTAGAATAGTTGAGCACACTGTTCTTTTTTGTGCTTCAAAACTGCTTAAATGAATAAGTTGAAATTTCATACACTTGTTCCTTGTGATTATGATGGGCAGAGATCATACCTTTTAACAGAGTTATGCCCCTTTTCTTACCTTCAACCACTGAAAATAGTAAAGCTCAGCTCTTGTTGTTTGTAGAAAAATTCTACATTACCTTTGTTTAACTATCAAGAAATGAGATTATTTACACATGATGTTTGTGTTTATTGTTTTGGTTTTAACTAAAGAGCAATTTATTGTGATATTTTTCAGATATTTTACCAGTATGTATGTAGTACATACCACATATTTTTCAGATATTTTACCAGTATGTATGTAGTGCATACCACTCGTTCATGTGATATATTTCAGATATTTTACCAGTATGTATGTAGTACATACCACATATTTTTCAGATATTTTACCAGTATGCAGGCCTCGACATTAGCGGTGGTCCGTTGGTCCGAGACCACTTGATTTTGGCAAGGACCACCTAATTTTAAAACCCACTGGTCCGTCGGACCACTTGAATTTTCTGGTTGATGCAAGGCTCATTTGGGAGAATGGCGATTTGGTCAAAAACATGTTAGATCTATATAATTTTGTTTAAAATCTATGTCCGATGTACATATATATGGTTCATTAATCTCTGATAAGTGAAAGAAGTTCTTAAGTCATCAATAACTTTCATTTTAAGTCGCTAAAATTTTGTTTATGCAAGTTAAAAGAGTTAAGAGTTTGTGATATAAATTTAGGTACAAAATTCATTCAAATGGTGCTAGTAATTATGCATCGTCGGATACCCACGACGGAACCGTTAACATTTATGTTATGTTACATGTTAATTAACCGTGAGTATCCGATGATGGTAATTATATGATATCGGATAAACTTAAATTTCAGATACTTGAATAACGGCAGCAAACGAAAGGAACTGGAAAAAAATACATCTAGTAATTCTATGCTATTTATCTTTATTTTAACTGTTTAACGATAAGAGATCTGTTTCTTCTAGAGTTAAAATTATTTTAAAAGGTTAAAAATACCCAATGTCAAAAATGAATATCAACCAACAAGCAACAGGGAGGTAAAATTCTGTATTATAAATCTGTGAGAAAAATAAGATAAGTTATAGTAAATAATAACGTTGTCATTATTTAAATAATTTAGATATTTCATTGTTTTCAAAGACAAAAATAAGATAATTTATTAGTTCCATTAAAAATGTTAATCTGTAAAAGATGCTATGTTATTATCATGATTATAAGACGTACCGCGTATCAGCAATGAATATTTGAATAACAGTAAGAAAATAACAGACACAAATGGCTTCATTATTCCCTAACTTGAGTTGAGAGAGAAATCACTTTAATATAAAAGTTAACATAAATAAAAGCTCTGTTGTGTATTTTTGACTGAGATAAAAACAAATAAACAAATAACTCTACGATAAAATACCCACTGACTTGCTCTCCCTTTTCTGATTAGAGGAAAAATATATATCTAAAAATATCTGTTTTCTTTAAAGATTATGTAATAATACATCTTTGTCATAAAGTTTAAACATTTTTTTCTACATTTGCAGTAAAAAGATATAATAATGATAACTGACCACCTGACTTCTGGAAGGACCACCTAACTTTCAAATCTAGTGGTCCGGCGTACCACCTGCTAAAATAGTTAGTGTCGAGGCCTGAGTATGTATGTAGTACATACCACTCGTTCATGGATGGTAATGATGAATATTTGGAGGAAGACAATCTTCTCAGAACATCATTAAGTAATTTACATTTTCAGTTTTTATGTACATGGGTAAAACTGTTTAAATATTATAAAACAGGCACAAACTTTAGCTATGATACATGTTTCATTGTGTGGGGTAAAAGAAAAATAGTCACATGATGGGTGGGTGAAAAGTCTCAAGAAAACCCTCATGACTTTTTATGCCCTCACTTAAAAATTGGAAAGCATACAAGGATGGATTTGTTAGTCTATATTTACATACACCCTGTTGTCTTTTTCTGGACAATTTCTTAAGAAGTAGAGATCCATGGATTATGTAACTTGGACATTTGCCTAGACCAGTAGGTGACTTGCAATCATTTAATTTAAGATTTTTAATTAACTGGCCCGAATTCCAGTTTTGAATTTATTCTATTATATGTTTAACTAAATTTTCTTAAAATTTACACCAGCCCTAACTAATTAGGCATATTGTTTTTGCCCTGTCCGTCCGTCAGTCCGTCCGTCCGTCAGTCCGTCCGTCCGTCCATTCTTCGTTTCCGGACGATAACTAGAGTTCCTTTTGACCTACAGCTCTCAAACTTCATAGGATGAATGGTCTTATAGAGCTGATGATCCCTATTGTTTTTGGGGTCAGTAGGTCAAAGGTCAAGGTCACACTGACCGTTGGTCAATTTCTCGTTTCCGGATGATAACTAGAGTTCCTTTTGACCTACAGCCCTCAAACTTCATAGGATGATTGGTCTTATAGAGCTGATGATCCCTATTGTTTTTGGGGTCAGTAGGTCAAAGGTTAAGGTCACACTGACCGTTGGTCAATTTCTCGTTTCCGGATGATAACTAGAGTTCCTTTAGACCTACAGACCTCAAACTTCATAGGATGATTGGTCTTATTGAGCAGATGATCCCTATTGTTTTTGGGGTCAGTAGTTCAAAGGTCAAGGTCACACTGACCGTTGGTCAATTTCTCGTTTCCGGATGATAACTAGAGTTCCTTTTGACCTACAGCCCTCAAACTTCATAGGATGATTGGTCTTATAGAGCTGATGATCCCTATTGTTTTTGGGGTCAGTAGGTCAAAGGTCAAGGTCACACTGACCGTTGGTCAATTTCTCGTTTCCGGATGATAACTAGAGTTCCTTTAGACCTACAGACCTCAAACTTCATAGGATGATTGGTCTTATTGAGCAGATGATCCCTATTGTTTTTGGGGTCAGTAGTTCAAAGGTCAAGGTCACAGAAACCGTTGGTCAATTTCTCGTTTCCGGATGATAACTAGAGTTCCTTTTGACCTACAGCCCTCAAACTTCATAGGATGATTGGTCTTATAGAGCAGATGATCCCTATTGTTTTTGGGGTCAGTAGGTCAAAGGTCAAGGTCACAGTGACCGTTGGTCAATTTCTCATTTCCGGATGATAACTAGAGTTCCTTTTGACCTACAACCCTCAAAATGGGGGGAGACATATTCAAAATTGAATACCTGGTTAAAAACAAACAGTTTAGGAAGCATCTTCTCATACAACCTTAACAATAGAAACCATCCATAGACAGCCTTCATTGAAGTGACTACCGGGTATTTACATTATCTTATCTCCATTTCCATTCACAGTTATTCTCAGCAGTGGGGGAGACATGCGCTTTTTTACAAAAGCATCCTCTAGTTTTCACTAGCCATTGGCCACCGGACCAGTGCTAAATTCGATGACTGATTATGTCAAAGTTGCATTGGCCAAATAAATTGAAAAGTAATAAACATATATAAGTAAAGCTTGGGAGAGACATTTTCCTTTGCCAGTAGGTAACTTAAATGGTTTTGAGGCAATTAAATCAAAAGTCATGGTCATGGTGTTTCTTTGTGTAAAATCCTTATCCAATAATACGTCAGAAGGAATTTTGAGGAGTTTTTTTAAACTTGAAGGGGGCATTTTTGAGTTTGAGGTCATTGCACTTTGTGTATTGTCCAATCAATACTTGTGAAGTAACATGGTCATAAGTCAATTTTTTTAAAAACATTATTTACACTATCTGACTATATATGTCTACAAATTTAATGCAGTACAGACTCAGAGAGTCAAATTTCCATAACTTATTACAATAGGAGATACTTGAACAGTAGGAGCACCCTATGTCCTTGTCCACCAGTAAAGAGGAAAGTCACCATATGTCGTTTACAGTGTTGGTGCAACTTGAAACCCAACAAAAACAACAAAAAATTTAATTGTAGAATATTGTTGCATTTGAATATTTAGATATGCTATCAAAATTTAAGATTTTATTATCAGGACACAAGTTTTTAGGGGCAGGTGGCATTGATGGTCTAATAGAAGAAAACAATGCACTAGAACAACAGTTAGAACTCCTCTAGAAAGATCCTGTAAGTTATATTTTATGGCTAGTCAAAATATTTTAAGAACTGTCAGAAGGGGAATTTATAATTTCTATATTTTTTTTAGTTTGCACTATAACAACCATTTTTTAGGGAAGAAATAAGTCAGCGTGAAGTCATTCTTTAAGGTCCTCTGTTTCTATAATTTGACATTTTCTGCTGTGGACGGTTTATATTCTAAATATTCAAAGGATATGTACACTTATAAATATATATAATTTGGTAAGACCTCTTTAGGCATTTGGTTTGGAATCACTTACTCCAAAAATAAGAATAATATAGATGATTGAATAAATAAATAAAAAGAGAAACACATTTCAACAAAGATTTCTGTTGTTTATTTTAGGACCATTTAAAGGCAGCCAATCAGAGATTACAATTGTTACAACATGATGATGAAAGACTTGTCAGTTACCTCAATGAGTTAGAGACACATAAACGACAACAGGAACAACAACTGACCGAGGTCGAGGAACTTTGTGCTAATCTGGGTATGTAACACTTTAAAACATTTTCAGTTGTTTCATTTTAACATACAGTTACAACAGTACAGATTTTGTAAGTGTTAATCAAGGATTAGGAAAAACTATCTTTGGCATTTAAAATGATTAGAAATGTTTTGTTTATTTTGAATATAATATTTCATGTGTTGAAACTAGCTAGCTTTCATATGATTGGTATTTCTACCCAGGCTAGAGAAATAATGTTTTACATTTTCTTTACCAGTAACGCTGGATAGCAGATATCATATCTTAACATCAACTGTTAGATTTTAGACCCACTGGCAGCTGATAAAAAATTTAAGAAACCTCTTCTACTGTTGTGTGCCTTCTCAGATTTTAATTCATCAGATGTAATTTTCTGCAGAGCAATATTGGCTTTGCCTATGGAACCAGTTGCAGGTCGGGTTAAAGCAAGTCAGGTTAGGCTGCACATTATGTGTAGTCTGCCTTGAGGTTGAATTGTTGGTTTACCTAATTAACAACAGACAGTTTTATAATCAAACATTTGTTTGTAAAAGTTCAAGTGGCCATCAGCTTTTATTTTCTGTTGGAAAAAATTTCTGAATTGTTTCAAACTAAATATTTCATTACTTTTATCTTGGAAAAGTGCATCATAACTGTTAAGCCCAATAAGCCATCTTCAAAAACACGTGATGTTCGTTTCTAAAAAAAGAAGATTGGGAGACAAAACATCTGTTTTACTAATTTAAATAAAGAGAGCTGACTGGTAGAGTAGAGGTATAGAGGGTTTTCCTTATTGTTTATGTATTTTATTGTCTGTAACTTTATTTTCCACCTAAATCCTTTTTTGATTTGGCAATTATACGAAATGATTTATCTAAAAATAACATATTTTACCTTTAGAAAAGCTGAAGGCCCCTTTAAAATATGTAAGATTTTTAACTTGTAATTAAAGTTTTAATCATTATATATTTCTGCAGAAATTAACTTTAAGTGTCTTAGTAATACTCACAAATATTTCTTAAAACTAAAAATATAGCAATAGAACTGGAGTCAGAGAATGCGAAGGTATTGAAAATGCAGTTAATGTATGAGAACCAGGAGTTTACCCAGGAAGATGTGGAACGTATTAACATGAGAACACGAGAGCTAGAGCGACAGAAAGCCGACATTGAGAAAAATATACAAGCTGTAGATGAAGATATCTGGAAAGAGGAGATAGGACTCTCAAAAGAAGTTGAACAGGTGATTCTTTATTTTAGTTGCCATTTAAACTGTTTGTGTTTAGATTGTTTGTGCTTTAATTTGTGAAAAATTATTTCTTTGTGCTTTATTTCTTGAAAAATTATTTGTTTGTGCTTTAATTCTTGAAAAATTATTTGTTTGTGCTTTAATTCTTGAAAAATTATTTGTTTGTGCTTTATTTCTTGAAAAATTATTTGTTTGTGCTTTATTTCTTGAAAAATTATTTGTGCTTTAATTCTTGAAAAATTATTTGTTTGTGCTTTATTTCTTAAAAATTATTTGTTTGTGCTTTATTTCTTAAAAATTATTTGTGCTTTATTTCTTGAAAAATTATTTGGAAATAGAGTTTTCTGTGTCATTTAGTATTTCTGATGGCACACTATACTGTGGCAAATTTACTCTATATGGCATGGTTGTGATCAAGTAGAATGTATTTGTATATTTGGGAGGTTCTTAGCTTGGTCTGCAAGCAGGTCATAGCAGAGACTTACATGAGATTAGTACTTATAGCTACCTTGCTATGTACACCACAGTTAGTCAGATAAAGTTGTTCTAGAAATGATCAGCACACCTGTCTGTCTAATATGTCTAGATGAGCAATAGTGTTTGGCATATTAAAGTGAACAGTTGTTGTGTTGGGCATTGTCCTATCATCTCCTGTACAAGTGGATATTTCTGTGTGTCGAAAAGTTAGTAAATTAAAAATTAAAGACATTTCGCGTGAGGAAATATTAGCAAATTGTTAAAGGGTAGAATTTAATGACATGTTAGTTGAGGAAATTTTACCGATTTTCATCAATTGGCGAACTTCGCCAATATTTCCACATGCCTAACTTATCCACTTATACAGTATATACTTGAAAAAAACTTATATCAAACATTCACTTTGTCTCATATGTTTAGTAATAGAAAGAGTATCGAAACCCGAGGCTATCTGATTTGTATGAGGGGGTGTAGCTCCCTAGTGTTAATCAGATTGCGGAGTGTTTTATGTTCTTTCTATTTTGTATCATAGTCAAACATAAAAACGTGCCCTGTTGTCACAATATGAAACCCGGGGAAAAAGTAACCAATGAACGAGCATCTGAATATGATATTTCTGTGGCTTGCCCTTTGTTTTCCATCACAATAAGTAAACCCCAGCAAAAATGAGGCAATCAATGGGCATGCTCTGGAGTGCGGGTAACTAATACCTGCACTCCAGTTAACGCACTGTGCATGCAGTGATTTTTCTCACTATATTGGGAAGAGGCCTTAGCCTCTTGATTTTGGGAAAAAAAATCGCTAAAAATGCTGATTTTGGAAGTAAAAAAGCTGCTTTAAGTTCAGATTTTTGGGAAAACTGCATGATTTTAAAGAAAATTTCAATTGGGAAGAGGCCTTTTTTCGGAGTCTGTTATATAAGTAGAAAAATCACTGGCATGTATATGTATATGATTTAACTCTGACACATTTTCAACAGAAAGGTCCCCAAACTATGATACAATTACTAATAATATGCACCATTTTAGTAATTTGCATTCTGTATAATTATGATGCAATAATTAACTTAATAGAATAGATATAATATTTAATAAGCTTTTGTGTTACTTTCAGATCCAGTCAAAGTGTCAAGCATATAATAAATTGGCTCACAGTTTGAAGCTAATACCTATTACAGCTGAAAACTCATCTGGTATTGACTATGAACTGAAGAAAACTGCCTACACTGATGGCACTTTGTCCAACTTCCAAGATATTATAAAGGTTTGATCAATATATATATACATCTGTGCATTTTCAAATGAAAAAGTGAAGCTTTTGCCTTTAAAAATGCTTTTACCAGATGATGAAAATTGACATTGTGTTAAAAGTACAGAAAATAGGTTTTATTTAACTTTGGAAAATGTTTTCTGTTTATTTTTATAAAGTATTTCTAAACATTAAATGACATTTTGCAGTATCTGATATGTTATTTGATATATTCTTATGTCATTATTGTCATTATCACAGTAACCTTGATGTGATATACATTTGTGCCCATCATTTACTCTGCCACTTAGAAATCATGTGAGATTTAGTAGATGTTCACTTTCGTAGAAATTGTAAATCACTGGTCAGTCATCCAGGAAAGCCATTTAAGTGGACCTTTCTCAGATATGTAATCAAAATTGTGTTGAAATTCATGTAAAGCTGAATAAAACATCATAATACTGCTTGTGTTGCATAGACTTAAACAATGTGACAGCAGGAAAATTCAGATTACCAGCCTGTATTATTAAAGAGTATGATATTGCTGGTTTAACGATACTATGTTTCTGATATATAATATATAATTGGCAACACAAATAGTCATACCATTGTAGGGTCATTATAAATATAACTTGATCAAGGACTTTCAGTCAACCAGACAATTTTTATTTCTATGTAGGTATGTCAATGTTTTGTAAGGAATACATCAGGTTATGATTTATGTTTCTTTTATTGTTCAGCCTGCATTGATAACTTTGAAACAACAGTGTGCGGACACTGCAAATCGTCAGAACTCGGAAAAGATCAAAGTAAAGGAGCAGTTAGAACAGGTAAGGTTTACCAACTGAATTACAAGGTTTGAAGTAGTTTCAAAATTAGGACCATTGTTCTTATCAGAGGATATCAAGATCCCTTAGTAATAAAATACTCACATGTTAAATACTTAATAAAATAAAATTTGCGGAAGCTATTAGAATGAAAAGTTTGTTTTACCCAGGTACATGATTGTTCTGAAATAAAGCACAGAGAGGCATCTAAAATGTTGCTACTCCAGTGTAAGCTCAGCTTGGGGACAAGTTTCAATATATGTAATGGTGTGTTGTGACAAAGTGAAAAAAAACATGCACAAAAGAAACAGATAAGGGAATAAATCTGAATCAGACAGCTATTGTAACATTAGTTTGATTGCTGTGAGAAATAAGTAACTTGTCAGTGCCGCCTGCATAAAGTACATCAATGTAATTTGACTTGTTTTTTTTTACCATTTCTTGCTATATTTTAGCTTAACAGCATTTAAACTTTTTATTATAATAACGAAAATTTCTATATTCATAGCATGTCAAGTCCATTATATGAATTGAGGTGTGTTAGGTTAAGTAAAAGCATTTTAATGTAAATATAGGTAAATCCGTATTTGTTATTATCTCACTATATTGTTATATTGTATATAAAATGTATTACAGGCATCAGAGTATGTGAGTGATCTACAGAATGAGGTTGGTTTATTGGAGAGTAAATATAAGAGAGCAGAGGATGAGGTGGAGGCTAAAAAACAGGTGTTGTATTTGACAAGTAACATACATGTCTCATCATTATGCCATCAGTAAAACATAATCATTTCATCTTGGTGTAGTTACATTAACATTTGCTTTAGCGGATTAAATCAAGATTATTGTCAAAAGGCTAAAGACCACAAATTTTCCTAGGCCAGATTTGATTGGCCAGAAACAAGGGCAGAATTTACACAGACCAACTAAAATCCTGAGATTTGAGACAAAGCACGTTTTCATAACTTCATGATTTTTAGAAAGATGTTAAAAGTTAATGCAGATTGTATTCTAAGATAAAGTTGTCTTTATCAATATTATAACTGCGTATTCTGTTACTTCACAACATGTGTTTGTCAGGTCATCACATTTAAGATATATAATCAGCTGTTATTCATTTGTATGTACAGATGTATTTGAAGGAGATACAGAGAATGCAGGAGTGTGTAGAAGAGCTACAGAATGAGATGGTACATTTAGAAAGTGTCATGTTCCTATCCCAACAAGATGCTTCAACCGAGAAGAAAAAACTAGACTCTTGGTTTGTTCTAACAACTTTTATATTTGCATTATTTAATCGAAAATTAATTAATGATTAATCAATGTCTTAAATTTTTACATGATTTGTTTAAAGGTGATTATATAAAAGTATCTGATGTAATCGGGCTTGTGTTCACTAAATTTATTTTCATTGCTTAATAACATAAAATTGATATAACATTAAATTGCTTAGGGAAAACATAAAAGATGGCGTATTTGAAAATAAGGCTCCCACATTTTACAATTTAAATGTAAACGTTTACACAATTGTTAAGAACCGAAACGATACCGTTTAAATGGTGGTACTTCTATGTACGGTACTATACTACACCATGTATTCGAGTCGCCAGATGATGACTTACTTTCTATTTTTCATACATGTACAAATAAATAAATAAATAATGTCCAGGGCTTATCAAGATTGTTTAGGCACACATTTTCTGCATTGTATTCCCATTTCTCTCTTTTGAAAGATCAAAGGAAAATTAACTTTACAAAAAATTTATTATGTCACAAGCGTTTATTGCACGGCAATGCTGTGTGAAAGGTTGTAAACACCCATTTTTTCGTTTTTATCCCCTGCCGAAAAGGCGGCGGGGGATATAGAAATAGTCTCCGACCTTCTGTCCGTCCGACATTTTTGTCCGGAGCATATCTCTAAAAGTATTTGAGTTATCAACTTGAAACTTCATAGGTGGATAGACCTCATTGAGGAGGAGTGCAGTGCATAAGAATGATAACTCTACCCTGCATAATTTTTGAGTTATTGCCCTTTGTTATTTTTCAAAATTGATTTTTGTCCAGAGCATTACTCCAAAAGCCTATGAGATATCAACATGAAACTTCATAGGTGCATAGATCTCACTCAGGAGGTGTGCAGAGCACAAGAATGATAACTCTATCTTACATTATTTTTGAGTTATTGCCCTTTGTTATTTTTCATACTTAATTTTTTTTACCTGAGTGGAGCATAACTCAAAAAGTGTTTGAGATATCAACATGAAATGTCATAGGTGGATAGATCTTATTGAGGAGGAATGTTGTGCGCAAGAATGATAACTCTTCCCTATACAATTTTTGAGTTATTGCCCTTTGTTCTTTTTCATGCTATTTTGTCCAAAGCGTATCTCAAAAAGTATTTGAGGTATCAACTTGAAACTTCATAGGTGGATGGATCTCATTGAGGAGGAGTGCAGTGCACAAGAATGATAACATTACCCTGCATTATTTTTGAGTTATTGCCCTTTGTTATTTTTCAAAATTAATTTTTGTCCAGAACATAACTCAAAAAGCCTTTGAGATATCAAAATGAAACTTCATAGGTGCATAGATCTCACTCAGGAGGTGTGCATTGCACAAGAATGATAACTCTACCTTTCATAATTTTTGAGTTATTGCCCTTTGTTCTTTTTCATACTATTTTGTCCGGAGCTTATCTCAAAAAGTATTTGAGGTATCAACTTGAAACTTCATAGGTGGATGGATCTCATTGAGGAAGAGTGCAGTGCACAAGAACGATAACTCTACCCTGCATGATTGTTTAGTTATTGCCTTTTTTTTATTTTTCAAAATTAATTTTTGTCCAGAGCATAACTCAAAAGGCCTTTGAGATATCATTATGAAACTTCATAGGTGCATAGATCTAACTCAGGAGGTGTGCAGTGCACAAGAATGATAACTCTACCTTTTATAATTTTTGAGTTATTGCCCTTTGTTATTTTTCATACTTAATTTTTCAATTCAATTTTTTTCTCAAAAAGTATTTGAGGTATCAACTTGAAACTTCATAGGTGGATAGATTTTACTTAGGAGGGATGCAGCACACAAGAATGATAACCTACCCTGCATTATTTTTCAGTTATTGCCCTTTGTTATTTTCAGCCATCAGTATTCACATAGGTTTCAAATCTGTAATCACTATAGCCATCAGTTTTCATTACCAAAAGACCTCTTAAAATGGAATTATTCTGCTCTACTACATATACATTCTTCCAATGAGCAAACACATTCGGCGAGGGATGGCCATGTTGACATGGCTCTTGTTGACTTTGGAATAAACCAATTAGAATTGATAAAATCTATCATTACAGTCAATGATCAAGATATTTTGTAAGCAATATGGTCTTTCGATTAAATGGTAAAAAATATCGTTAACGTTTATAAATGAAAATCGAAACAAATCCATTTAAATGTGTAACCGTGGGGGCCTTATTTGCAAAGAAACAATCCTATTCGGGGATAAAATTGACAAGTACCAAAACAAATACAAAAATAATCAGATTAAAATAAGTATATCATTTTAGGATCAAATCAATATTTGGATCAACTGTGAAATGCCAATATCTTGTAAGATAGCAATAAATTTATTTAAAATTTCATAAACATGTTATGCAAGTCCAGTTTCATCAAGTAAATATTGAATATTTAGGAAATAGATATCAATTCTGAGTGCATTGTTGTAGAATAATGCACGGTTTGAGTTCAAATGCGTAGTAATTTAATCACGAAGGCCGATAGCCCTGAGTGATTTATTACGAAAAACGTGCATTATTATACAATAGTGCACGAAGAATTAATATCTACTTCCATTCTAACACGTCAAGAAAAATATAATTATCATTATAAAGTTGGACTTTATGTTTGGTGGTTAAATTTGTTTACGCCTCAGGGTTTGCAATAGAAACGTTCTTTAAAGGCTGTTCCAGTGGGTTGAAAAACTGTCATTTAATCTACCCTGTGTAGAAACATTTTGAGAATAATGAATTTTGAAAACGTTTATATATTTTGTTTGTTTATTTTATTTCACTCTATAATTTTTCAAGCGAAATACAAATTATTAAAAGTGAAATAATTGTAAAACTTAACTCGTTTGCGACATTAGAATAGCGTTCTCGATTTGATTGTTTTGCACATGCTGTTTGGCGCTACATTGAATTAAAGATATTGGTGTTCAGATTCATTTTCTTAGTTAGACCATTTTCTTTCATTCTAGATAGTTTTCACAACAAAATTAGACAAAAAATGTTTATTATTTATCAGATTTTTCAAACTAAATGGCGCCCTCAATGTAAAAATACACAGGGAGATGATAAGACCAGCGAGTGCATTGTTGTAGAATAATGCACGCTTCGGGCCTTCTTTGTCTATATAGGAAAATTTCCGATTGTGTTAGAATTAATCTTTTAGGATAAACAATGAAAAATATTAGGGTTTTTAAATTTGAACCTAATTTTGATCATAATCCTTAAATCTTTGTGAACACTCACTGGACCTGGGCTTGGATGCGCAGCTTTTGTTATATTTAGACATACAATTGTATACTGTTTCATTTCACAATTGCTTGAATTCTATTTATTTCTAAAAATATCCTAATGTAATTTTGAATAGAAAGCTTTGATATATTTTTTTTAATGGAGTAGTCTCCCTTTAGTCATTTATTTAAAAGAGCTTATTATTCCTTTTTTCAGTTTTAGTTGAAAACAAACTCATTATATGAGCCGTGTCACGACAAAACCAACATAGTGCGTTTGCGACCAGCATGGATCCAGACCAGCCTGCGCATCCGCGCAGTCTGATCAGGATCCATGCCCGTGCGCTATCTCTCTATTTGTAATAAGGTTTGTAAGCGAACAGCATGGGTCCTGATCAGACTGCGTGGATGTGCAGGCTGGTCTGCATCCATGCTGGTCGCAATCGCACTATGTTGGTTTTGTCGTGACGCGGCTCATATATTTGTAAAAGATATTGAATAAACTTTAATCATCCTGTAACAAAAGACTAGTTTGTATCATAAACTACAACTATGTTTCTTCTTTATGTGAAAATTTTCTTCTTAAATATCTATTGATAAATTTATCTTCATTTCATGAAATGAATAAGCATGTTTTGAACGTGCTGATTTGTTCCTGTAGGTTTTAATTCAAACTAACTCTTTCTTGGTTTTATGGGAATTTTTAGCTTTAATTGTGGAGAAAGACGTCAGGGATCCAAGCAAATGTATCAGAAGCTTGCAACATCTTAATAGAACCACATCCTATAAGCTAGCTGTATTCACTTGATCAAATCAATAGTCCCTTAGCAAAAACATGTATGTCTGCAGCAACAAGTGATTCTAAATTAGCTTTCTTAATCAAAAGGTCAATGAGGAGCCCAGTTAAATCTTAATTATATTTTATAAAATATTTTCATAAAATGTCTATGTGAATTTTTGGCCAGGTTGCACAGGTGCAAACCCGGTTTATAGTGTGATGAATGGCGGGCGGCTGGGAAAATATTTTTCGTAACAGTTTTCTCAGCAACTACTTATCACAGCCTCTTGATATTTGGCACACAGCATTAATTAGTAGTCCCATACCGTGGGATTCGATTTAAGATCTGTCGCTCATCCACTTCCTATTTACTGACTAAATTTTCAACATTAATCGTCAATGGTAGGAAATTTTCGTAACAGTTTTTTCAGCAACTACATATCACAGCCTCTGGATATTTGGCATACAGCATTAACATGTGGTTCCATATGGTTGGATACGATTTCAAGTCTGTCCCCGATCCATTTCCTGTTTACTGACTTAGTTAAATTTTCAAAATTAATGGTCAATGGTAAGAAATGAGTCTGTTGCTTATCCACTTCCTGTTTACTGACTTAGTTAAATTTTTGACATTAATGGTCAATGGTGGGAAATTTTCATAACGTTTTTTCAGCAACTACTTATCACAGCCTCTTGATATTTGTCATACAGCATTAACTAGTGGTCCCATATTGTGGAATTCAATTTCAGGTCTGTCACTTATCCATTTCCTGTTTACAAACTTAGTTAGATTTTCGACATTAAGGTAAACATTTTTCATAACATCACAACCTCATGATATATGGTATAGAAATGCATCCTGGCCTTTTCTGTCATTGACCCATTTTTTACTGTTTTATAGGAACAGCCAATGCTTTTAAAATCAGGAAAATAAAAAGCATCAAATCCAGAAGAAAATTGGGAAATTTTAACAAAACCTTTCAACATTCACTTTTTATTCATTTGATTAGACAATAAACATACTACTTGCACTCACCATACAAATTCAAATGTGCTTACATAGTTTCTCAAATGAAATTGGGAATTTTTTAACAGTTTTGTGCATTGGGAAAGGACCTATCTTCAGCCTCTATTTTATGCAAAACAGAATTATTGTTTATGAACAGAAAATTTTTATTGGTTCCATAATCTAAAGGTTGGTTTTCAACAGATTTACAACATAGAATGTCTCAGTAATTAAAAACCTATGACTATTGTAGGTTAACAAAATAAAATGTTTTGGAACAAAATTTTTTGCTATTTCAAGTAGGATTTTAACTACACTAGAACTTCGATAAGTCAAACTTTAATAAATCGATTTTCTCATTTTATTGAAGTAAAATAAAAGTCCAGATTTTTTTCCCCTTTATAATCTTTCATGTAGGTGACTCGAAATGTTCTTTGTCGAATTTTTCAATGTGTTTTTGACCGTAGACCGTATAGATTAAATCCAGTATAATTTACCATAAATAAGTATAGGTTTGAGTGCATATTGGGTGTTCTTCGTAAATAAGAAAGGTAAAAAGGAGCGGAGCTTGCGAAGCGACTGTAGCTTTCTTATTTATGAAGAACATCCAATATGCACTCTAACCGGCTTTGTGCTCCGCCCATTTTTTTCCGCCCAACACACTGCGTGACGTCACACGATAGCCTAAATGTGTATAACCATATTTGGAAGAGTTAGCGGTACACATTTCAGGGTCACGTGTTTTGCATAGCTTATTCCCGCATTCTGTCTTGGTAAATCAGACAATATCCTGGTGCATATCCATATCAGTACCCTATTTGCGAAATATTCTCCAATGGTACCCTCTTTGAACATACACAGGTCATTCTCTGCTAAAAACAAACCAGCGATGGAGTATGCAGTAAAAACAATGCAGTAAAAATTCATTGTAATAAGGAAAGGAGGTATGACAGGTAGAAAAGATGTATACCACGGAACACTTATGTGCTGATTTGTCATGTGCCCGATTTTCATGTACTGCAACTTCACAATAAGCTACAAAAAGTTGACATGTCTTGCCTCGCCCGTCACCTCGACATATTTTTCGGGCTGAAATGAATCTGTAGCTTGATTATATATGCATCATACATATTTATTATGTTCATATACATATCATCTTCGGACATATAGCAGTAAATTGTCAAAAATAAATTTAAAATTAATAAAAACACCCTACTTTCGGTTTTGCAGTGGCACGGGCTGTAATATTTACATAAAAATTAAGAAATATTACATACATACTTTGTTGGAATAAGTGAACTTTTTATTTGGAAATTATAAAATGATACTGGTTCCGTAAGTAATAAAACATTTTTACTGTTATTTTGCCTGTTTTCATTTCAATGAATCTCTTTTTTTAATTCTATGCCGTAGTGACGATATATATGTGCGTGTACGGAAAAAACATTATGCATAAATATTGATTAGTAGGAGTAAACTTCAAGATCTCTGCACATGCGTATATTTCACTTTAGCGCTCTTCGAAACTTAGCTCCGCCCACTTGCGTTTTATAATATAAAACGTCCAGTTTATATAAAATCTGTTCTATTAACATTTGAAACCTGAAGATTTGAAAAATCCTCGTCGGTGATTGGCTTAAAAAATTGGCGAGCACTAAGTTAAGGTCCTTTGATTATTTTGACACCTTCAATCTTGAGACATATTTTACACCTTTTCTGGCCGTGAAGATGATTTCCGATTAACTTGTGTGACGAGTTATTTACACAGCTGTGTGTTCTAACAGCCTTTGTATGCATACATGTTTGGAAAAAAAATGCTTTAATTGTTGTCTTTCAAATTGTTGTAATTATTTTTGTTTGAAAACTTTTGTGACTCGGTGTCATGTGGATCCACGGGATATATTTAGTATAAGCTAGTTTAGTTATCGCCCTTTCCCTTTGTTACGCCTTTTGTAACTAGCTTGTAAAACTTGACGGCTTGAAATTTTGTCATTAAATTGAAGCTGATTTATGAGACAAAGTCCCGATGTGTCTTAAGTTTTTACACAAGTCCATTCCACTTCGTCTTACCGAAGATCCACTGTGTTAAGCAATGATTTCCAGAACATAAAGAAAATATGCAAACTTATATCTTTCATTTAGGTAATTTGGAATTCTTCAAACATTATTTTTGTAAACTACAAATATTAATGTATGTTCAAATGAATATATTGGCTGGTGAGATGAATACCTGAAAGTTTAATGAAATAGTTATTTTATTGACTTGGAATGTGCACTGATCAATTTATATTTGTTATCAAATAGGTCATTACAAGAAAGGGAAAAGGCAAGGAGAAAGTTAGAACAGCATAAAAATTTCTTGCAGGAAGCTCTTCAAACCTTTATGGAACATATGGAAAACATGCAGGTAGATAATATTATTATACACAAGAAAGGTGTTAAAAAGTATGTGCAGATAGGATCACATATTTTATTTATCTTTAAGTTCATACAGGAAACACAAAGACATTGTTAACACGAAACTTTTAATTCAGAAACTGTTTCATTGTAAGTTTCATTATTGCATTATTATGTTTATTCTATAAGTCAACTAAAAACAATGAAAGAAAATTGAGTTCTATTTTTGCATAGAACGTTGTATACATACATGTATATAGAACTTTGCTTGAAGTTTTATGGACACTATCAGTGTCCTATGTGATTTTTAAGAATTTCATGGTAGCAGCAAACAAAATGCATTATTATATGGATACGGACCATGTCATCTTGATAGAGACGTTCATTATCTTTAAAGTTATAAATGTGCAACTCTTAAAATGAAAAAATACAGCATATGTGTATCTTATCAATGTTATCAGTTGTATTAAGCATGCCTTCATTTTGTTTTAAATGATGCAACCATAATCGAAGTATATCAGAATTTCATTTACATTGTCTATGACAAAATCGTAAGTAAGGTATGTTGAATATTTTTAGGCCAAGTTAGCAGAAGCCCATGAGGATTCTGAAGCATTAAAAGAAAAGGTTAGACAGGAGGCCAAAGTGAAGGGCATTGAGTGACTGAAAATATAGTTTTGTGACTTACTAAATGAACTGAAACAAAGATTTGTTGTTAAGCTGACAACAAGTTGTATAGAATTGGAAGAATATTTAATCCACAATGTTTTGTACACAAAGTATTTCTTTATTGAATGCTGTGAATAAAGCCATGTTGTGTTATGCAGCAAGTGTGTACAGAAGCTATCTATATTTATTAAAATGGTTATGATCATTTTTTTCCTGAAATAATAGTTACAAAACAAGATTTAAAATACGTGTGGAAATAGACATTGAAAAGAACATCAACATCTGAGTTTATGGAAGACAGTTTGAGGTCTCTAAGATTATTTTTGCTTACATAAACTGTTAGTACAGTCAAACTTGTATTAAGCGACCGCGCAAGGGAAACACCCAAAATGGTCGCTTAATGAAACAGTCTCTTAAGACAAAGCATGATAAAAAGTCAAAATTTATATATGACATCTTTATTTTGCTGTGGGAATGTTTTTCCACTTCATGTTTAATATTTAGAACGCTCCGATAATCTCAATGGATGCTTATGTAAAAAAATAACTTTCTGATATTTATTGACAAATCAGTTTTGATCCATTACGTACATGTTTGACATTTTTCCACAATTTTTAAACTTTTCCGATGTATTTCCTTGCCTTCAACACGAAAACCCTGATAAGTAAAGATTTTCTTTTGTTCGTTTTCAAGTTACAACAAAAGTCTAATAATTCTGGGACACCTTTTGTATGTTGTGTTACTAATTGTCTGAAACATTATTGTAAAATGTCTTAATATATTTATATATACTGACAGATAATGTGTTTGCATTGAACATACAGAAGAAGAGTAAATGAAAGTACATGTATGTTGAACTAAAGTCATTGTATTTTAAGGCATATGTCTAAAATTATATTATAGTTTACATGTTAATGTTTTGTGATTATTATCTTTCTCTTTAAAATGATATAAATACATGTATCTGATAGCAAACATTTAAAATTGTTCACTTTTTTTTTTTAGTGGAATAAAGCAAACTTATTAGTAATGGTAAAGAATAACAATACCGTGTAATCACTGACTGAAGATGATTTAATGCAAACTCACAAACATACATCCATAATTATTGCATATATAAACATCATTAGTATTTGTTTACAAAAAAGAAAAATATGGCACATTTAATATATGAATCACATGACTTGAAACGGTCCTTTAAAAAGAGATAGATTCAAGATTAAGTAATATTGATAGCCTACAGTAAGTGATATTCAACTTCTCACTAACCGGATTGAAAAATGTGTAAATGTTACTAAAAAAAGCGGTGTTGGAAAATCTTATCTCACATGGGCTTATCTCACACTCCACGTGCAGCACTTCTTTACGTATTCCTACACATACATGATATTTACTAAAATTTTGACAAAACTGAAACATCATAGGTCCAAATGTATCAAATATATGAGCTAATCTATTAAATTGTCCACACAATCGACATAAATTGATATTAACTTTCACGCCTCAATGAGTCCTACTCTACCTAGGTCTGACTTTCCTTATCAATCTGTTATTAAAAATAGCACACTTTAAAACATCTAAAAAAAATGTCGTAAAATCGGATATGACACGTTGCCTGAAAAACATTCATATTTTCTGTAATGATAATGATGTTCTTGATGATGAATCTCATTTTAATGTATTTTAATTGAATATTTGGCCAAAATTGAATAAGTAGAAAAATCTATGCAAACGGTAAAACGCTTTTTTTCAACCATTGAAGTATGGACTGAAAACACTAATATGAAATAATAACTCATGTCACATTCTCACATTATGATATATGGAAATAATGGATGATTATTTTACTGGTACACAGTTCTTTACTGTATCACACACATACAGCAAGGTGTTCTTGGGCAGGAATCTTTGTGGCTCTGAAAAATATAGAGTGGTCTTATGAAAAAAAAAATCACCTTAGTGAAATATTATAATAATAATAAGGAATATTGTTTATGTGTGCGTGCATGCCTGATTTCACAGTACATGTATATGAATGATACCTCAATCAGAACTGTATTTAAAATTATACGCTGGATATTCTACATAAATTTTCCTTAATCTCTTTGCTGTTGCAAATAGGTTTTGATATGAAACTACATTATCAGATTATTAATAACCTCAAGTTCCCCGTAGGTTCCTTTCTTCTTACACTTCATACATAAAGCAGGCATTTTGAACAGATCCAGCTCAGCTCCTCTATTTCTTTTGCAGATGACCTGAAAATGATACATAAATAAACTGGTTAGAAGAGCAACATTATTGCAGTATGTTGATAGTTACGGAACAAAACAACACATTACTGAAACAGCTGTTTTTTGTTTGTGTGTTGTTTTTTTTTTTTCAAAATGTAAAAAGATCTACAAACTATGAATAACTCCTGTTTAGTTTTTACTAAATAATAATAAATATGTAATTGAGCCGTGCCATGACAAAACCAACATGGATCCAGACCAGCTTGCGCATCCGCGCAGTCTGATAGGATCCGATCCATGCTGTTCGCTTACAAACCCTATAACAAGTAGAGAAACTGATAGCGAACAGCATGGATCCTGATCAGACTGCGCAGGCTGGTCTGGATCCATGATGGTCGCAAACCCATTATGTTGGTTTTGTCATGGCACAGCTCATATGTTTGTGCATTTACAAGGTTGTTGTGCTTGAAATAGTTAAAATCAGGGTTCCCACGGTCAGGGAAAAGTCAGGGAAAAATGATTTTTTTTCAAGGTCAGGGAATTTTGAAATTGGTCAGGGAAATTTGAAAAATAAGCAAAAGTTAGGGAAAAGTCAGGGAATTTTGTAGAAAATAATGTTTTTGTGAAACAGCAAGAAGGAAAATCATTAAAAGCTAAGGCAGTTTCTTCCATTATTTTGGGTATCTTATTGTTATTTTTGATTCTAAGCGTCTGTTTTATTTTTATATTTTTTGACTCTTAAAATGATTATGCTTCTGCCGGAAGATTCTGGATATTTTTGTCATTATTAGTAACTATCTTATTAAGGCAGAAGCTAAAAGGAGTTTAAGCATCCCTTGTCTCCTGAGCTATTTATGGTTTGTTCTTGTGAAAGAGGCTGATAATCTGCTCAGGAGGCTGAAAAAATATGAAAATGGACTTGCTTGTGAAGTAAAATGCCAAGTGCAATGCCTTCAGGGTCAAGGTCAAAGAAAAGTTATAAAAGAATCCAGTAAAGATATTGAGAAACTTGAGAAAACACTTAGTGGACTTCGATTAAGTACCAATAATTTTAGTGCCATGTTGTGTTTTTGCACATATGCATTAAACCATAACTTTGAAATACTAACTGCCATAGCTAGTTTTATTAGTAGTATTATTAGCTTTTACTGCATTTTGCTTTTAATGTAGCCACTTCATTACCTGTCTTATTGTTTCTTGTCCAACACTAGTTTTCCATTGATAACTATCATATATTTTATAAAAATACAGGCCTGTTTTAGTCAATCCTCTTTGCATTTGTAAGAGAATGAAACATCTTTCAGCATAACATGTACTATCAAATACTTTACATTTTGGATAAATTTACTCATACTTGTTGAAAGTAAACAAGAAAAGTTGCTTATGACAATTGCTCGCTAATATTCATGTATTTTTTATCTTGAATAATTTAAAATAAAGAATTTGAGAAAATAGGTTGGCTGTTTGGGGAGGAGGAGGTGGTAATACATGTATAAAAAATGCATTTAATGCTCTAAGATTGTGCAAACTTGACGCTGTTATTGGTCAGGGAAAAATGGCTTTGGTCAGGGAAAAGTAAGGGAATTTTGATTTCTCTTCTTTGTGGGAACCCTGAAAATAAATTAAATTTTGATCAGATATGAAAGAAAATATTGCAGTTTGGACAGTTTGGTTGATGCTACAGGTTAAGATTGAACAGTTGGTGCTCATAATGTAATGTAATTTCATCTTGCAGAACAAACAATTTTTTTTATTTATTTCATGCTTTTTTTTAATTGATTGTAATTAATTTCTTTTGATGTAACATAGGGTCATGTTATGTGCTTCCTGACATAAACATGTTAAAAATAGCTATTACCTGCTTGCTACAATCTTCTGATTCTTCAATTCCTTCTTCTATACACCGCTTGCAAAATGATTTATTGTTTCTATAATACAAAATGTTGAAACTACAATATAAGCAAAATTTTACAAATGTTGATGTAGACTAATATTAAACTATTAAAATGTCTAGGAAAGCAGTATCATGAGGTTTATATTTTTGTTAAAAGCTTATAACAAAAATTAAAACGTGTTGTGCATAGGAGTTAGGTCTCTAGTTCAAACACTGAGGTCAGACTTGTACATCAAACATCATAGTCTTTGTTTGTGCATAGCTTTTTGTGTCGCCTCTACGGAGTAGCGGCGACATATAGGGATCACTTCTCCGTCGTCTGTCTGTCTGTCCGTCTGTCACAAAACTTGTCCGGACTACTCCTCATAAACTACTGGTGCAATTTCATCCAAACTTTACAGGAATGATCAGTACCAAGTCTAGTTGTGCATATTGTCAGCATTTTCCGGTTCAATGATTTTTGTCATATGGCCCTTAAATAATTTTTATTTTTAAAGTTTGTCCGGACTACTTCTCTTATACCACTAATGTAATTTCAATGAAACTTTACAGGATTGATCTGTAGCTCAAGTCCTTGTGCATATTGCACGGGTTTTCCGGTTGAATGATTTTTTGCCGAGTTATGGCCCTTTGATAAAAAGGTGTTTTTTTCTGTGTGTTGCCAGATACACAAAAGCTTGTCCGGACTACTCCTAATAAACTACTGGTGCAATTTCATCCAAACTTTACAGGAATGATCAGTACCAAGTCTAGTTGTGCATATTGTCAGCATTTTTCGGTTCAATGATTTTTGTCAGAGTTATGGCCCTTTAATAATTTTTATTTTTAAAGTTTGTCCGGGTTTCCGACTACTTCTCTTATACCACTAATGTAATTTCAATGAAACTTTACAGGATTGATCTGTAGCTCAAGTCCTTGCGCATATTGCACGGGTTTTCCGGTTAAATGATTTTTTGCCGAGTTATATCCCTTTGATAAAAAGGTGTTTTTTTCTGTGTGTTGCCAGATAAACAAAAGCTTGTCCGGACTACTCCTCATAAACTACTGGTGCAATTTTATCCAAACTTTACAGGAATGATCAGTACCAAGTCTAGTTGTGCACTGTCCGTCTGTCTGTCCATCTGTCACAAAACTTGTCCCAACATGAAATTGCCATCATGAGGCGACACATGTGATCACTGATCGCTCTTGATTATAAATGAACAGACTTTGTAATGAATATACATAAATATGCTGGTTATTAGGATGACATATAGTCAAAATTATTCAGTTCAGCAGCCCAAAGGTCAGTTTATACTTGATTGTCTATAAGTAATAACTTGGCTTAAATATTTACTTTAAATCAATTTGTGATGAGTGAGATAAGTCTAGTAGCTTAGAAATCAAGGTTGTGCTCGGACATACAAGGTCTAGTTTCATAAAAGTACATAGGTTGTCATCTCCAGTTATCTATTCTGTCATTGATGGAATAAATTTTATTAGATAGTATACTTATGTGTTACATTTGGAAAAATTGTTAGATGCAAACGCCAGGTTGATATCTAGAATGGTGCGGAATATACTTTGATGTTAAATATTACATTGATGGTTGTGTTTGGTCATTTCTTTGTCATTTATTAATGGATGCTTTTTGAAATAATTGATCACTGAGGATATGAAAATATTATGTAAATTTTTCCATATTTTTGTAACAACGATTTTTTAGTAAGCATATATTTGTTGTAAGTCAAAGGTCATTGTTCCTCTATTGGGCCCTGCGAGGATGGGTTTTGGGGCATTTGTCTGTTTCCAACAACAGGTGATGTTTACGTTTTCATGTAGTGTTATATTAATTATTTTGCCATTGTTACAGAAAATAAAAGGAAAAAACTTATAAAAAAGTGCATCTATTTAGTTATGAATGTAGCTTACCCTTTCTTAAGGAAACATTCTCCACAAAAAAGGTGGCCATGTTTCAACTCCACAGCAAGGTTAAGGTAGTCACTGCAATGGCTACAATTCAGCTGCATTCCTTTACTTGCACTCAGAACTTTAATGTTACTCATTCTGAATCTAGTGTGTTTATCTGAAAAAATATAGTATGTTTATTTTGAAGCCAACAATTTCAATGGGTGGGGAAGCATATTCTGTGAAACTAAACGTTCTATTAAAAGATCAGTAAGGAAATGCATTTACAAAATAGACATTTTTTATGAAATACAAAGTTCTGATTTTACCACAATACGTTTTTTTATATATATTCAACAGATTTATTGTATTTTGACAGGCTAATTATACCGTGTGGTTCAATTTTCTGTTTCAAAACTGAATTGGATTATTACGTCCTCCTTCTATAAGGAACGCGCGCATGTATTGATTTGTAAATTTGTAGTACTGAATAGATTTGGCATTAATTCAAGTTTTTAGTGTTTGAAGGTATCGACCTCGAAATTCAAAAGATTTATGTTTTTGCATTGAATCATTAACTTATTCTTTAGCACTGACTATAAAATATAAAAACCGAATGACTTGTCTTATATATTGTAATGTATACTTTTGTAGACAGGTGTTTTTATTAAGTCGTACCAATTCTGTAAAAATTCATTTGGTGACGATCGAGCTTTAATGATAAATTACAAACGAGCAGCCCTCCATGCATTATTTCATTGACAATACAAGAGCCAACAAACTTCAGTAAGCTAGTTTGGTAGCAGAAATCAAAGTCTGTGCAATAATGGAAAATTATTTCAACCCAGCCATCTTAGAGAACCTGTGGTAGTGCTCATCTCCAGATATGAAGTCTAGCAAATAGATTTTTAGCTAGAATTTTCTAACTGATAGTGAGGCTACCTTTCTCACACAGGTGTTGGCAGTACAATATCTCATTTACCTCTAAAGATATTTGCAGGTGACTTCACATATGGGTTTCCTTATTGGAGGTCATTGTCCAAGGTCCATAACCCTAGTGTGGACTTTGCCTAAACTATGTTGCTTTTTTAACAAGCAAAACTCCTAGTTAAGGTTAACATTATGTACGCAACACTACTGAAATTATTCACTTAAAACTACATGTCTTTGGGATCATAATTGGAGGTAACTGCCTAAGGCCTATAAAACTGACCTGGATTTTAACTGAATTATGTCAAGTTATGAACTCTGAAAATTTTTAAAAGCTAATGAAGATGTTGAAGCATCATGCTTGTCTTTGGGATAATAAATTTGGGCCATTTCCCAAGACTCTTAAATATGCCATCTTTTTTTTATTTTTTTTTTTTTTATTGGTATTACCACTTTACTAACTTGTATATTACCCAGGATATTGTTGAATTAGCAGTGAGAATTATTCTGTCTCTCCTTCTTTAGGTAGTATTTTAGTGGTTCATAAGGATACTTTGTATTCCATAAACAAGTTCTAGCAGCTAATGTTTCAAGTGTGCAAAGCAGTCATGGTCTTAGAATTTTGAAATGCAGCATAAACATAAATTTTGGTTATTATTTGTTTATATTATATTTTAAATAAGTGCTGGTCATATACACTACCTTGAAAAGAAGCATAATATTATGGTATCAATGATCTGTTTTATTCTAGACACTTTTTTCAATCTGATTTGATAAACAACTGTCTGAACTTTGTTTTTGCTATTCCTTATAGTAGATATTCTGTGTTATCTACTTACTTTGCTTTTATGCTCCTTCATATATAGATAAACCAAGAGCATCTTGCTTTTTTGTTGTCTGCTGACATCTTTGAACACTTTCATCATTTCATAGAATGAATCCCTGCTACTTGGACACATCAAACTTCTGAAGAAGAACTTGATTAATTTTGAGGTCATTTTCAATAGTCAGGCTTTTTCACTATGACTTATTATTAAGTACAAGACTGAAGCATTTGTGTTTTACTACCACATCTTGTTATATGTATAAAGTGTTATAAAGTGTTTCAGACATGTGAAACATAGTTCTTTAAAGAATATTGTTTTATGTACCAGTTCTAAAGTTTTTACTGCAAGACAGTTTCATAAACTGAATTTGAGTAAGTTATTTGACATCAACATAATACTTAATGTAGAAAGTGTACCATATGCACATAATTTTTTTGCTTTGATGTGCCTTCTAACCAGAACTTTTTTAATCACTCTTGTTCCATTATGATATCTTTTACAAGAATATTGCTGAAGGCAGTGAATTCTTATTGCACTTTCTCTATATAAGATAATAAGAGTATTCCAATACTTTTTCAGTTATTTCCCAGTTGTAAAGGGAGATAATTAAAATAATAAGTTATATAGAGTAATGTCCTACTGTCCTTTCTCTCACATGTTTCTATAACAGTGAAGTTTCAGTGAGATTTTACTGACAGTCTAGATAATATACTCAAGATAAGCATTAGTTAACATTTTAAAGTATCATAAAGGGAGATAATTAAAAAAATAAGCAATGTAGAAATTTGGTCCTTCAACTCTTCACTTCCTTTCACTGATCATTCTCATTGTTTGAAGTTTCAAGACTTAAAAGTTATTCTCAGGAATATCATTAAATATTATAAGGAAGATTATTTAAAAACTTAGTATGTAGAGTTATGGTTCTTAAACACTGCACTTCTCACATTTTTTATAAATGGGTAAAGTTTCAATGATAGTTAAGACAAGCATTTTTTAACATTTCTAAGTATTGTTTGTAAAATGTATGATTCTTAATTTAAACAAGTGAAAATTATGGTTCTGTGATGCTGCACTTCTATCACTATATGAAGTGTTGACCAAATTCCTACAATACTTTAGACAATTAAAAAATAATCTCTGTAGAATTATGATTTGTTAACACTGCACTCTTAATAAATGTGTGAAGTTTCAATGAAATATCATTGACAATTTAGAAGTTATACTCTGAACAGGCATAATTCAATTAAAAAGCTAGGTAGAGTAATGGTTCTGTGACACTGCACTTCCTTTCACTGGTCACTATCAAATTCCATCAATAATTTTCAAGTTATCCTCCATATAAAAGTGTGATAGACATCAAAATAATTTTGTTAGAAATTTCCTCTCTTTTTTTTATCCATGATCATAGAGGTTCTCACAAAAATCCTTATTAAATGACCTTCCCATTTCTCACATTTTTTATTGTACTTATTTATGTTTTTAATTTATTTAGTCTTATACTGAATAATATTTTTTTCATAAACATTATCTTTTTATTTTACAATATTTATCCATTGTTTTTTCTTTCCCAACTGAAACTAAATGGACTTGTTCAAAATCGATTTTAGTTGACAATTTATACATGTAATAAGCATTGATCCTAAAATTCAATATCTTTGGAATCTTTCCAAAACTATTATTTAAAAAACTTTATTTAAAATCAATATACCAGTATATTATAATTTTTACGACTTAAGAAGTAAAAAAAAAAACTTATAATCAGTAAAATCCAATATTGGGAAATAGGACTTATACCTTAGGTATTATATAGATTAACTCTCTACAGTAATTTATACCACAAAAAAGACTTTGAAAACATAAATCTTGATAAACCTTTTCTTTAAAAATACTACTTCAAAATGTTATTTGATCCAACATGCCATGATAGTAAGCCAGCTATTTCTGCATGATGGCCCTGAAATCGCTCACCTGAATATAAAAACTTTCCATGACAAGGAACAAGAAATATTGTAAACTATAGACAAAAGCAGATATAAAATCTAAACCTTAAACTGATATCATAAAGTTCATATTTGTATCTGAAATAGTGCAAGTGTAAAAACATTACTGGTTGCTATTGCTAAGGGAAAACAACAGTTCCTAAAGATGTGTACACAGAAACAGATGTTGGTCGAAATTATAACGGAAAACATTGGGCTTCTTTTATCAAAGACACCTTGTCAAGTCTTGGCTTTTCATATATTTGGGACAATCAGTTTGATATAGATATACCATACAATACTATTAAACAAAGATTAATTGACACCTTTCTACAAAGTTGGTATGCATCTATCAATAATTCACCAAGATTACAAACATATTGTATATTTAAACATTCTTTTGAAATGGAAAAGTATTTAGATTATGTCCAAGAAAGTAAATATAGAACTGCTTTAACTAGATTTCGAACTTCTTCCCATAATTTATTTATAGAAACTGGTAGATACGAAAACATTCCTAGAGAACAGCGATTATGTAAATCATGCAATATGAAGCAAATAGAGAGTGAATACCACTTTCTCCTTGTGTGTCCCAACTACCGAGATCTTAGAACAAAATATTTTAAAAAATACTACTGCCATTGGCCTACTATGAATAAATTAGATAGTATCTTGTCGTCAGACTCAAAGAAAACTATCTGTGCCTTAGCTAAATTTTTGTATTGGGCAAATCATAAACGTATATCTTAATCTGATATTTTTTCTGAAAAACTATATTGTTGATAAGTACAAGTATTATTTGTTCCCATATTAACTTGTATTCTTCAGAAAACTTGTGTATAATTGTTAACTGCTATTTTTCTCACTGTACATGTGTATCATTGTAAATTGGCTATAAGCAATGTATTTTGTTTTATGCTTAATAAAATTCGTATTCGTACATACAAGGAAAATCAGTGATCACTTTGGGCAGGGCTAATTTTGACCCCAGGGCTTTTATTTAACAAATTTGGTAGACACTCATTAAAAGATTTTCATGCTAAATATTAAAGCTTTAGCTCTTTGGGTTTTTAGAAGATTTTTTTTTAAGCTTTTACTATACACATTATATAAGGAAAATAAATAACCCCCTTGGGTGGGGCCAATTTTAACCCCAGGGCTTTTATTTAAAGGAACTTGGAAGGTAACTACTACAAGATGTTTCATGCTTAACATCTAAGCCTTAGCTCTTTGGGTTTTTAGCTCACTTGAATGTCCTCAAGGTGAGCTTTTGTGATGGCCCATTGTCTATCTCCTGTGTGTGCGTTCGTAAACAATTTCTTTAAACAACTTCTCCTCCTAAACCACTTTGCTAAATTTGTTGAAACTTTGCAGGGATGCTCCTTGCATGAAGCTCTACCTAAGTTGTTTAAAGAATTAAATACCTTTAAAAACCAAAAGATTTTTTAGCTCACCTGTCACAAAATGACATGGTGATCTTTTGTAACACCCCGTCAGTTTGTGCATTAACTTTTTCATTCAAATGACTTCTCATCCAATACCGCTTGAAAAATTTAATGAAACTTGGCAGGCATGCTTCTTGCATGAAACTCTTACAAAGTTGTTAAAAGAATTAAATTCCTTGAAGAACTCTGGTTGCCATGGCATCCAAGAGGTTTTTTTAACAACCTTGTAGCGCCTTGATATTTAGTTTGTAACATGATCTAGTGGTCCTTTACAAAGATTGTTCCAATTATGACCCTAGGGTCATAAGGGGCCCCGCCATGTGGGTTACTCGATTTTCAAAGAAAGTCTTTAAAAATCCTCTTGTCAAAAAAAATCTGGAAACAATGTGATCCCTTGGAAGCATTAATCACAACAAAATTACTTGAAAATTGCTGACTCGGTTTTATTGAATCTGTACATGAGGAATAATAAAAAACCACAAGGCCTACAGCTTTGATATTTGGTATGTAACATCATCTAGTGGTCTTCTACAAACATTGTTCAAATTATGCATCTAGGATCAAAGGGGCCCTACCAGGGGGCTTACAGATTTAAAAGAAATTTTTTTTTTTTAAATCTTGTCAAAAAACCACAAGGCCTACATATTTGATATTTGGTATGTAATGGCCTCAACAGGCGGTGGGATTTTGAAGTACAACACCAATTAAAACTAAGATGTACAAGCAAATCTTAATGTGTGAAGGCTACTATTTCTTGAATTCTTAACACTTAAGTCTAGATGTAAGGGATAGGACATGTTCTATTTTAAAAATCTTGTACAGATTTCTACAGACCTCCCACAATGACAAGTAACAGATTACCAAATTATCTCCTGATAATGGGTGTAATGAATGAAATTCAAGAACAATTAGGGCTAAAAGGTAAACATAGTAGAAAGATGGGGTAAAAATGATGTTGAAAAAATCTTCAGGAGACCCAAAGTTGTGGTATGTTCCGAAAATGATTATGTCATGGTATTGAACTGTTCTCTAATCAGGGGAGGTAGTTTGTAGGTGGCCGGATAGCTCAGTCAGTAGAACCGCAGAACGGTATCCCGAAAGTCCCAGGTTTGGGTCTCGGTCAGGCTGTACGTTAAAAAAAACAACAATTTTTAAGAGAAATAAGAGCCACCGCCATGCGGGGGCAACGCTCGACTTTTTACTTTTTCTAAAAGCAAACAAAGAAAGGTTTGAACAAATCCTAACGTTTCATTTAATCGGTCTGTCTTGTCACATTAGTTACACGCATTAGAAACATGCAATTCTATAAATAGAAAAACGCAATTCTAAAAATAGAAACAAGCAATTCTATAAATAAAAAAAGCAATTCTATCAATAGAAACACGCAATTCTAAAAATAGAAACACGCAATTCTAAAAATAGAAACACCCAATTCTATAAATAGAAACACCCAATTCTATAAATAGAAACACGCAATTCTAAAAATAGAAACACACAATTCTAAAAATAGAAACAAGCAATTCTAAAAATAGAAACATGCAATTCTATTAAAAGCAACATGCAATTCTATGAATAGAAACACGCAATTCTAAAAATAGAAAACAAGCAATTCTATAAATACAAACGCGCAATTCCATAAATAGAAACGTGCAATTCTAAAAATAGAAACACGCAATTCTATCTATAGAAACACGCAATTCTAAAAATAGAAACACGCAATTCTATAAATAGAAACATGCAATTCTATTAATAGAAACACGCAATTCTATGAATAGAAACACGCAATTCTAAAAATAGAAAACATGCAATTCTATAAATACAAACCACAATTCCATAAATAGAAACGCGCAATTCTAAAAATAGAAACACGCAATTCTATCTTAAGAAACACGCAATTCTAAAAATAGAAACACGCAATTTTATAAATAGGAACACGCAATTCTAAAAATAGAAACACAAAATTCTATAAATAGAAACATGCAATTCTAAAAATAGAAACACGCAATTCTATAAAAAGAAACTTGAAATTCTATAATTAGAAACTACAATTCTATAAATAGAAACATACAATTCTATAAATAGAAACACACAATTCTAAAAATAGAAACACGCAATTCTAAAAAAAGCAATTCTAAAAATACAAAAACACGCAATTCTAAAAATAGAAACACGCAATTCTAAAACAAACAATTCTAAAAATAAAAAACACGCAATTCTAAAAATAGAAACACACAATTCTATAAATAGAAACAAGCAATTCTATAAATAGAAACACGCAATTCTATAATTAGAAACACGCAATTCTATAAATAGAAACACGCAATTCTAAAAATAGAAACACGCAATTCTAATAAAAGAAATGTGCAATTCTATCAATAGAAACACGCAATTCTAAAAATAGAAACACGCAATTCTATAAATAGAAACAAGCAAATCTAAAAATACAAACACACAAGTCTTTAATTCTAAAAATAGAAACACGCAATTCTAAAAATAGAAACACGCAATTCTAAAAATAGAAACACGCAATTCTATAAATAGAAACAAGCATTTTTAAGAATACAAACACACAAGTCTATAAATACAAAAAGCAATTCTAAAAATAGAAACATGCTATTCTATCAATAGAACATGCAATTCTATAAATAGATACACACAATTCTTAAAATAGAAACACGCAATTCTATTAATGTAAACACGCAATTCTTAAAAAAGCAATTCTAAAAATAAAAACACGCAATTCTAAAAATAGAAACACGCAATGCTATAAATAGAAACACGCAATTCTATAAATAGAAAAGTGCAATTCTATAAATAGGAACACGCAATTCTAAAAATAGAAACACAAAATTCTATAAATAGAAAACATGCAATTCTAAAAATAGAAAACACGCCAATTCTATACAAAGAAACTTGAAATTCTATAATTAGAAACTACAATTCTATAAATAGAAACATACAATTCTAAAAATAGAAACACACAATTCTAAAAATAGAAACACGCAATTCTAAAAAATAGCAATTCTAAAAATAAAAAACACGCAATTCTAAAAAATAAAACACGCAATTCTAAAAAAAGCAATTCTAAAAATACAAAAACACGCAATTCTAAAAATAGAAACACGCAATTCTATAAATAGAAACAAGCAAATCTAAAAATAC